CCTGTGAGACAAAGAAGAAATCAAAATTATTTTATTAGCTGAATGAAGACAAAAAAAAACAACAAAATATATAGTTAAGCAAGTCACCTCATATCCTTCATGAAATCAATTGATTCCTTCAGATATCCAAAAATTTTAGGTTTACATAGTTTTATTCAGCTTGAATGTATACTTTCTTCTTTTAAAAAATATTTTATTTTATTATTTTATTTTATGCATATGAGTGTATTTCCTGCATCTGTGTGAGTGCACACATGTCATGCAGTGCCACAGAGGTCAGAAGAGGGCTTCAGATTCCCGTGGAACTGGAGTTAAGGATGGGTCATAGCAGCCATGTGGGTGCTGGGAATCGAACCCAGGTCCTCTGCAAGAGCAGTCAGTGCTCTTAACAGCTGAGCCAGCTCTCCAGCCCCATAAGCGATAATATTTTTTTTAAAGTAAGATGATAATGAAACCCAGAACACTATAAAATCAATATCTACTAATGAAATATTTTAAATTAAGTTTAATTTAAGCAAAAAGTAAGGCAGAAACTATCACTCTACAAGATAAATCAATAGACAATTTTATTAGAAAAAAATACAAAAGGTAGTGAATACACTAATGTACTAAAATTATACATAATAAAATCTGCTAATAAAATTGTGATAGTTTCACTGGTAAAAGAAAGGAGCCAGGGGCTCCTCCCAAACCCATGGGACCCCTGAGGAACAGATCCTCTAACGACCTCAAGAGTAAAAACAAATCAGTTTATCTGGTCCAATGGTATGTCCTTAAACACCCAAAAGGGAAGTATAACCAAAGATTAAAGGGGCCAACATAATATCATAAGAGCATACATATATATAACTAAAAGTTACTCGACAAACAGCAAAGCCAGACAGGTGATACCTTCAGTCGAGTTGTTGGCCAGGATAGATAAAGGCTCTTCCAGACAGTAACCCAACATACTACAGGAAAAATGAACAGCAGACCCCAATTCTATCCAAAGGAATACTGACAATGGATTGCCGTAGATGAGGAACAGCTGACCCTCCTGGAACAGGGACCTCTGGCTGACTAGATTTACCAAAAGGGCAGACAGGGGGGAACGGATGAGGGTGCCAGGGATGGCAGAGTATGGAGCCTCTAGTGGGAGAGGAAGGCTGTCTATCTGATGAGTTTGTATTCATGCTCAGATGC